AATTAAAGAGCAGTTGAGTTAAAGAAGACAAGCTGATCACAAATATTTGAGATAAGGAGCCACAGTAGAAAGGATAAGTATACTTCAATTGAAAATTATAAACAAGAGAAGGGCTTGCTTGTTGAATTTCTAGCAACCAAGTAGTAATTAAGAGGTGAGCTTGGCAGCCGAAATGTTACGTAAAGATTCATAAGATGAAGTAAATTATCCAAAACAATGATAAAATAAATTTTTGATTTGTAAAAGAGAAGAACATGCAATATAACATTGAAGCACCAAAATGGGTCCCAATGTTGATAAATCCTGAACTAAAAATAACTGCATCATTGAAAATTGAATAGAACCTGTCATCTAAGTTTAAAACTAACAGATGGAAGCCAATTGCAAACTTAAGTTAAAATATTATATAATTAGCCTTATACCGACATAAGAATGAGGTCAGCTTTCTTAATCCAATAATCTTCGCGTCATAGTCACTTGCATAGCAAACTAATATCCTCCAAAACATTATATGATATTTTGGTCTTAAATCTATCTTCTTAGGAATTTCGTGATGGAATATCTCAAGGCTTGGTAACACCATTACCGTCGCACCTTAAATTCCTAGTATCGTATGCGCACATCAGCACTAGACTAGGGCAAAATTCATCCCACTATAGTAATGGAGTGAACAGGGCAAAATTCATCCCATGTTTGGCTTCGCCTGACTAAAAGCATGACAATTTTTCACTACACGTGCCACAATATAATTCCATAAATAAACAATTCTATGCCAAATCCTGAAAAGAATTTGAATTACCAGGAAAGAATTCAATGCCTATAAAATAATTAAAATAGTGGGAAGTTTTGAAACAACCTTACGCTTCTTTTGAGACAATAGCCAATTGAAATCAAATGCATTTTTCCGTCAATATAAAAGAGAATACCGTGCATTATTTATACACGGATTTGCATTAACATAACATGGATATTTGGTTAGGCTAAGTAATAGGACTCTATAAAGGAGCACATCATGCATTATTTACTAAAATTGGAATAACCATGAAAGTAGACAACAGTCATAAAAAATAAATAAACTCAGCAGTGAAATGCAATAAAAAGGGGTTGGTTCAACTTCATGCAAACATCGTGCATACTAGGGAACTGAAAAAAAAAAGACCTAAAGGCACTAAAAATTTAAATTGGAATCCCAAACCCAATTTCATAACACAAACTCTTCACCTCTCACCAAAACGATGACTTTAACAATAAGCTTTAGAAAGGCAGATATAAATCAAAATGAATTCAACTAAAAAACTTGAGTTAGTGAACAGATAGCCTTCAAATTTATGCTTTAGAACTAAATATCATTAAGTAGTTCCTCTGAGAAACAAGATTGGAAAACAAATCTCATGATGCAATTGAAAATATCAAAATATACATAGTTAAACTACAGGCCAAACAATTGAGCCCACATTAAAGAAGATTTTATTTTTCAATCAAAAAATATTATGTACCATAAAAAAGTAGTGTGCATGATTTTAGACCAAGATTTCAGTTACAAGCACTCAAAGGTTAAAGAGAGACAATGAAATGGTTTGTTAGCGTAACATGATTTTATAAAAGAGAAACTTCATGCATGATCTTCTACTAGATTTGAATTACAATGAAATTGCACACTTGTAAACATAATTCAAGTAGAAGATGCAACGTAAAAGTTTTGATGCCACCTTATGAAACAACATAAATGGTAAGTAATACTAATAAAATGCAAGCACTCGCTCAAAGTAAACACATAGATTTCAAATTAATATTATTAAAAGAACACTTTAATAGCAAAATGAATTCATGTGTTGGCCTTGCACATCGCTTTCCTATGAATATAAGGTCATAACAAAGCACGTGCATCACTCTGTTTCATTACATTCCGTCATACCCTTGTGCGCTTAGTTCCAGCTCGGAACAAACTTCCAATTCGAATTTTATAGTTCATTTAGCATCTATAGCAATAACTAGGAAATAAGTTTATTTCTCCTTGCTATTTCTCATAGTTTTTTAGTCATTACTCATTGAATCTCTCTTCTCCCTCATTGGATCTAGTAGCTTTTTGTTGGCTTTTTACTTTAAGCTCTCTCGCTTGTTATTTTTCTCATATGCTCCTAGGTAGTTTGCTAGTAGTAGCTTGTTGTTCACAAGCTTCTTCTCAAGAATACTTCTTCATGACTAATCTTCACACTCTCTCTCGCTTCACGCTACCTCTTCTTAGTTTCTATCCAATCACTCAATCGCACAAGTTTTTTAAATTTCTAAGTACTCTTTTACTAATTCATTATTTATAAATTTGGTTTTTTGGCTTCTATGTGGCTAGAAACCATTATTTTCAACATATTATATATAATAAAAATTATTACCACTTGTGGCTTATATTTGATCAATTAAATAGCTATTGTATGTAAATAATACATGAATATAGTCATGAATGTTAGCATGTAAAAGTGTCACTTCGCTCCATAATTAGCAAATCGAAGCAAAATGTAACCCTTGGCATTGTGCTTCACACTTGGTCAAGTATTCTATTATTGCTCCCCCTCTAGATGGAGCCATTTTTTTAGTACAAGATCCCACCAATAGAAAAATAACAAATCCCGAGTAGTCAAAGCAAGTAAACACATAACAGGGTGAAATTTTTAGAGGAAACTTATTCTTCACAAAGAAGAACGAGAAGATTAGAAGAAACATGGAATGAAACAAGAAATAAAATGCACAGAAAAATCAACTAGATCATTGTAGCGTGCATTGATCACCACATAATATATGAATATAGTCATTTAACTTTGATTTTTTTGGCTTATAGGTGGCTAGAAAACATTATTTTGAACATATTATATAAATAAAAATTACTACCACCTATGGCTTATATTTGATCAATTAAATAACTATTGTATGCACATAATATATGAATATAGTCATGAATGTTAGCATGTAAAAGTGTCACTTCACTCCATAATTAATGAATCGAAGCAAAATGTAACCCTTGCCATTGCCTTGTACTTGACACTTTGTCAAGCATTCCATTATTGCTCCCCCTCTAGATGGAGCCCATTTCTTTGGTACAAGATCCCACCACTAGGGAAATAAAAAATCCCTAGTTAAAGTAAACACATAAGAGTTTGAAAGGTTTTAGAGGAAAATTATTCTTCAAAAAGAAGTACAAGAAGATTGGAAGGAACATGTAATGAAACTAGAAAAAGATATGCAAAGAAAAATCAAATAGATCATTGTAGCATGCATTGATCATCACAAAGCTAAGCCTTGGATTTACGTCCATGCTTGCTTTAAAAAAGCTAACATTCTCACTTTCCCTTCATATACATTAGCTTATGGTCAATGCAATATCAAGCAAACAGGCCTCCAAGCTGCTGCCCCATTTACTTTGGAAGGCCAACAATATTTTTTGCCCTACAAAGAAGCCTGCTACATATATTAACTCCACAAAAAAAAAGTTCTAACTACTAAAATTAATTAATCATTACTATATGTATAATTAGTGCTAACTACTCTAAAGTAGTTATACTTTAAATAAATCTGGATAATATTTCTATAGTTCTTAATTAATACATAATTTAATGTCTAAAAAGGAATAACTCTTAAAATTAATCACTACTTGTCTAGTTAGTTCAGGCGAAGTCCATTTAAACAGTAATTAGCCAAACTAATGCAATCAAATACTACTCAATCCAACTAGTCCGGCTAGTTAACCATTTCAAAGACTTAAAACATCAATATTTAATGCAAATGATGTTGCACCCCCTTAGCAGTGGCCCATGTTCAAATTCTCTCAACTTCCCCAAAAAAAAAATATCCATATTCAATGTCTACCTAATCAATAGTTGCTCTAATAATAACTAAACATGAATTAAAATTTAACTAATCCATAGTAAGTAGAATAAGAAAATAATCACCCCAATCGATGTAAGCCAACACTTGTAAAACTAATCTCCAATTAAACATATAGCATTAATTAGTAAATAAACATTCTAAGTCTAAATAATAAATTACCAATCCAATTGTTATTAATCCCTCAAAGAATTTGATAAGTCCTATCAAACACTAACTAGCTAACCAATTCAATCAAATACAACTTATTCCTGATTACTTGGACAATTCATTAAGAAGTATTAGCTAAGAACTCTCTGTGAACTGGCCAATTTGTTCAATCCTATAGAATAAGGCAAGTTAGCTTAGTTAATCACTGATCCCGAAGTAATCTATTATAAATTACTTCTGAATTAAATCAAAACTAATTTTTTAAAATAGCATTATTCTTCAAATTAATCATTAAATCTATCCCCAATTTTGATCTAATTCCCCAACTACTTCATTAGTATCCAAAAAGTTTTCAAGGATTACATATATCTGCAACCAAACAATTTTAATCATTAAAATCACCAAAAGTATGGGGTTAAAATAAATGCAGGATTACATGAATCTAAATTTATCTAATCCTACCTAAAAGCAACCACAAAGCCATTTAAACTTTTAAATTACCGAAAACATATAAAATGAATTTTCAATACTTGCAGGGCCATAACAACATTACAAATACAAATAACGACAACACGTTGTTGCCAATAAGCATCACCAGAAAAGCTTCCATTAATAACGCTCCAATCAATTCGCAAGCAAGTCACAAATTTAACCGCAATGTCCTAAGTTTCAATAATACACATAACAACAAATAACAACTCAAATAAAATCCGTCGCGTTAACTATCCAAACCTAAAGGGAGCAGTCAGTATCTCATAACACAGTTCACCATTCAACTTTGGCCAACAAAGAGAAAGAATCAAACCATTAACCGATTCCCTAAACGAAAGAGAGAGAGAGCAGAAGCCAAATGAAAAAAAGCAATCAGCAATCCAAACACAACCACAGAAACAAACAGATCGGGAGCACAAATTCGACAGAAACAAAACCCGGAACAAATATAAATTTGTGTGTGCTATCTCGAAAGAACTCACAGGGACGTGATTGATCGGAGGATTAGGTTAGACAGGCGGAGCGTGCACGACTGACTTCCTGTTTCGATTGTCCAAATCCTTCCCTGCTTATCGCCCGTGATTTGGATTGTCCGAATGTTGCCCAATTGGGGGTGCGGTGGGGGATTGCATTATCGTGTCATCCACTTGAACCTGTTCGAAGTTTTTTTTTATAATTTAACATTTAAATTTTTATATTTACATGCAGAATAATTACATTTTTAACATTACATTAAAAATATCATTCTTATATTTTTAAAAGTGAACCACGACACTAAAGTGTTATAAATCTAAATATAAATATCTAAATGTTAAATATGTAAATATATAAAAATTGTGCGGTATATATATAATTTTCTTTAATGACTATAAAGTTATTGTGAAAAAATATATTTTTACAGTTGGGTAACAAAAGCTCTCTCTAGTTTTCAAAACATAAGAAAATAGTAGCTAAATAGACTTCAACATCTATTTAAATATTTAAGTGATGAATAATGATTATAAATAAACTCTTTTATTAATTTTAATCAACATAATTGAGTGCTATAAATAAAATTATTTTAATTATCAATCACTCCGAGTCATTCACATCAGGAGATAGGAAAGAAAAGAAGAAAAAAGAACGGAAGTAGTAGAAACACAAAATCTCACGCAGAGAAAGAGAACACAATATGACTTAAGTGAGTTTGCATTTTGCCTACATCCACAATCACAATAGAATCTTACTATATTTATCTCTTAAAGGAGCTTAGGAGAAATTTACAAATAGTTAGGATGTTTCGCATATTGATTTGCTACTCTTTTATAGGCTAAGGTGGGAAGAAATATTGTGTTTGGACGTTTGCACGTCCGAACTGCCACAACCAGTCGCCACATCACCCATCAATGAGTTGTATGGCGCGTGGTAGCTAGTGGCTGGTTGTTGGGCGTGCAGTATATAGATGCAATATTTTTTCCTAAAGTGAAAGGGGAGGGTTGAAAAGAGAAATAATTTTAACTAACCATCTAACCATCAAATTTGAATTTTAACTTTGAAAGCATATGAAATTTGACCCCACATTTAATAATCTCCCACTTGGAGTCGACTCATTTCTTAATACATTGCATTTCAAGCATGAATATTTCTATTGTGGTGTTCCTCCATGTGGATCCCCTCATGCTTCTATTGCGCACCTCTATTATAATAATTTATGGAGGTCAGCTGAGGCCATACATAACCTCGATTTTGATATGGTCACTATCTTGGTTAGCATGAATGTAGAATTTTATGATCCATGAATCTTCTCTAATTATAGAGTTTCATCATCAGACAATCCTTTGATGTAATGATATTGTAATTGTATGTGTTCTGTCCTTGTATGAAATTTTGGATTACTTTTTAGGTGGATGGAGCTCAAACTGTGATTTAAGTTAGTATTGCCGACTCACTTTTCTAATTCCTTTAGAAAATTCTTTAGCTAGATCAACTTTTTGTCCACTTCTGAAGTTGTCATATACTCAGCTTCAGTGGTTTATATTGAGGAATTCTTTTGTAGTCTAGACATCCAAATAATTGTAGTTCCACCAATCATGAACAACAGCATGATGTGCTCTTGCAACCACCTAAATCACCTCCCCATTTTGCATATGAATAGCCTCATAAGGCTAATTTGTTTTTAAAAACAAAGTGTCATACTTGAAGTACCTTTTATGTATCTTAAGATCTACTTCACAATTTTTCAGTATTCATAACCTACGTTAAACATAAACCTGCTCACGACTCCCACTAGATGAGCTATGTCTATTCTAATACACAACATAGAGTGCAACAAACTGTGGATTGCAAGTGTGCATGATACCTTGTTCATGTGCTTTTGCTCTTCATCAGACTTTGGCAACAACTCCTTATATAGTATGAAATGGCCGCCCGAGGGTGTCTCTCTTGGCATTGTATTTTAAGCATCAAATCGATTTAGAACCTTTTGAATGTATTCTCTTGGGATAAATCCAAAACACCTTAGGATCTATCCTAGGTTATCCTCATACCAAGTATTTATTTTGTTTTTCCGAAGTCTTTCATTCCAAATTCCTTCGATGGCTGATTTTTTAATTTATTGATATTTGTTATGCTTGCTCCTACAAGTAGCATATCATCAACATCAAATAACAAAATAATGTAAGATTTGTAAAACCTCTTGATGAAACAAAAATGGTCAATCTTATTCTTAGTTAACCCATTTTTACACATGAAATCTTCAAACTTTTTGTATCATCATCGTGGTGCTTGTTCTAGCACATCAGACTCTTTGAAAGCTAGCACACTAAGCTTTATTTTCCTGGAACAATGAATCCTTTAGGTTGTTCTCTATAGATCTTTTTTCTCAAAATCTTCATGAAGAAATGTAGCCTTCACATCTACCTGTTCTAGATGTAATTTTTCAGCCACAACAATACTTAAGATTATTTTGATAATAGTCATCTCTATCACTAGTGAAAATGCCTATGTGTGGTCAATCCCATGTATTTGCTGAAATCTTTTAACTATCAACACAGTCTTATTTATTTTGCTCCCATTTGGCTCTTATCATACTCAATACACACACTTTTTATGTAATGTTTTTTTCCCATTTTGGTGATAGTTCTAAGATCCAAGTTTTGCTTTTCTTAGATAGTTAATCTCCTCCTTTATGGCTTTCTTCCACATGATTGAATTTCCAGACTGCAATGCTTCCATATAGTGTTATGATTTTTCATTATCTACAATAATAAATAATATACATATGAAGAGTACCTTTTATGTAGGTTTAGATTGTCAAGTAGACATTATCAGTGGTGGAGTAACTATTTTTAGGGTCTCCTGTGAAGAAGATTTTATATCAATGTTAGGATTTTTTGAGATTGAACAATCAAAGTTGATTTCTTCGTGCTTTTTATATGATTTTTAGTTTTTTTATGGTATATCCTTAAATAGTTTTTTGTTCGTCAACGCCACATCCTTAGCTCTTATGATTTTTTTTTAAATTTTAGTAATCACAAAATCAACAACGAAAATAATTTAAGCCATAGCCAATGAAATAACTTTTTTTTTTTTGGCATCAAGGCTATTCCTATATTCAGAATTAACAACTATTCGCATAGGAAACACAAAAAGTAAAAATAAAAACTTTAAGATTTCAAAGTAGTACCACCTTTCCACTCCACTCTTCTTCAAGGATTTTAAACTTTAAAATGATGGACGGTCCTCTGTTAATTAAATAAGTTGTTGTGTTGATTGTACCTAAACAAGCCTTGAGCAAGCCATAGTGTAATTTCATGCTCCTTGCACACTCTTTTATGGTTATATTCATTCTTTTAGTGATATCATTTTATTTTGATTTCCTAAAACATTCTTCAACATGCAAATTCCATGTGTTGAGTAGTAAATTTTAACTTAATTGCAATCATACTTGTCATCATTTTTATACTTCCAACACTTCACTTTCAGTCATGTCTTTGTCTCCACTTTGCACTCCACTTCTTAAAGGTAGTAACAACAAAAAATAGCCATTCTCATACTAAGTGGGGTAAGCTAAATGAATTTTTTTCTCCATTGTGTCCTATTAAGTGTCATATTTTAAATTAAAGGTAATACACATATACTTCTTGTTAAGTCATCAATAAATATAACGTAGTACAATGATCCACTAAGGGATTAAATTGGGGCTGATCCCTATATATCAAAGAGCACTGATTCAAAATTTTCAGATTTAGAAGTTCTTGGATGTTTCACAAAACAGGCTCATCATCTGCAAGATAGACCTTACCAAAATTTTCTATAGTATAATTATATAATAACTCACGACCATGAGTAGAATGAACTTAACCGTTTTCTTGAGAGGAGACAGATGAACTCATACTGCCATGAAAAAAATAGTCAGCCAAAAGTCTAACTCCAATGCTCTAACCGATGCATGGTCGACCGATTGATGTTATTTCTAAATCTTTTTATACACAGATCTTCCTTCTCCCTCCGATCGCCATGCCTTCTGAAATCCTTGTCATGTCGTTGGTCTTTCGTTCACCCTTCTGACGTCAGAACGTCTCCTGCCTACATCATTGGATTGCTTTGAGATTCGTTTCGTCATATTTTTTTTGTATACAGTTACGATCAATAATAATAATAATTTAAGTCATTTCACTTTTATTTTATTTAGGTTATCGTTTGCAATTTTATTCTAAAATTTATAATAAATATATTTTTTATTTTTACTTTAATAATCATTTTACACTCAATTTGAATCATGAAATCCAAAAAATAAAAAGGGGGATTTATATACACACCACCCAAAATCATTTCACTTGATCGGGCACCTGCTTGTCGGTTGTAAGTCTACTCTGGTCTGGGGTTCGATTCCCACCGAGTGTAGGTGTGGTCCTCAAATTATAGGCTCATGAAGAATGATTGGGGCTCGTCCTACAATAATTTTTTTTAATATATATATATATATAGTGCATTGGGCGGCGCATTCCACGAGCAACCTGATCATGATAGGCCCGACTTGGTGGCATCGGACCCCACAGTTTATTTAAGTTTCTAGAAAATGTTATTCTGGAGAATTCTTGCATCGTACAATATTTCCAAATGATAATGATAATAAAAATAATAATATGTTATGTCTCCTTTTGTGTGATAAACGTGTCCGCGTTATGATCATTTAATTATCAAAAATATTTTTTTTTCTAAACCCAATATCTAACATAAATGAAAAGATTTTAAGTAAGAACCGCAGAGAAGTGTTATTTTTAAAATAAAAGTAGAGGGGACCGCCGCCTCCAATGTGAGCGTATTGTCACCTCCCAAAAGAGCCCTTATGGGTGGTGGGCAGCCTAGGACTTAAATACTGCTTTTCGGCCATACACCTAGCCAATGTGGGACTATTTGTCCGTGACATTCTCCTCCACCCAATCACGTGACGCCCTCGTCACGGATCGGCTCCACCGAGGGTCCCACTGGACCATGGAGAGTCCACACACCTGGCAGACAGTAATATGCTCTGATACCACTTGTCATCTCCTAAAAGAGCTCTTTTAGGGTGGTGGGCAGCCCAAGGCTATTAGTCCGTGACAGTATGATAAAAAAAAATATTATGTTCGGAGTCTGAGTGTAAGCTACATTCGGACAACGACCGCAATACATCGGTGGTATTTCTTTTTTTTTCTTACTCCTTCAGTTCGTCCGGCGTATCATTTTTCGCTTTGAAGATTGAATTATTTGTTTAAAAAATGTTAATGGAGTTAGATTTTTCTATGTTTCCTTGAAAAAATTCTTGTCATATAAAAATGATTGATTTAGCATCGTAACACAATATATATAGTTATTGAACCCAAAATTGACAATACGTAACACAAAGATCATATTAATACATGTTGACTCTGCAAAATAGAGAAGGAGAAGAGATAAAATAAAAATTTAGAAAGAAAAGCTCTTCAATTTCATTAATTATTGTCAAAAAGTACTGAGTGAAGTTAAAATTATATAATAAGCCTAATAAGTATTTGTTATCAAGTGAGTAAACCTAACTGATCACTTTTCGATTGGCTTCAATTGAGGTAAAGTGATGCAAGGGTGATTATATAAAAGCAAAATTGCATGATAAGACTTAATAATTATTATTCATAAAATAAATAATTCTAACCTACTATTGTGTGGTCAAATTGCTAATTATGACTAGTAATAAGCAAACATTGAGGACTTTGAGGATGAAGCATCTTTGGTGAAGTCTTTAGCAACATCACTTTGAGCTAATGAGTAGTTTAGGTATGCTTAGCATGGTTCCTCATAATTGAGTGAGTTGGCATGACAGTTTTAGTTGATGAATTTGTTAGCAAATAAAATTTGATTGTGTCAAATTCAATTTATAACAAATGCCAAGTTTATTTTATTTGTTTAGAGGTTACTTATCCCATAACTCCTTTAGATGACTCTGTATATGTGATGATGATCTATTAAACCCAATTTATAATACCAATGAGACTTGATAAATTCAATCAAAATTTCTTTGAGAAACTAAAAATGATCACCTACCTAATACAACTTAGGTTATACTAAACTTAATAGTCTTTTTTTCTCATAACTTGATAGATGGTAAACTTAATGTCTTTTTAAAGATCCCTACTAAATGTGTTCATATAGGTATAGAGATACAAAAAATCAAGAAGTATGACTAGCAAAGGAAATTCTCTAATGTTATTAGAAAAGTTTAGGAATGAGATTTATGTGATTTTATTGATGAGCCATATTCATTCTCAACGTGGTGATGATTAAAATTGAGTCACCTAGCTTATTAGAGCTTATATGCTCCGTTTTAACCAATTATTTCATAATTGGATAATACTTGCAGCTCCTCTTTGCAGCACAGATCATCCTTAATGGGGTTGACAAATAAACTTATTTGTTACATCCTAATTGCAACTAGTTGCCATTTTTATGGCCATTAAAGTCACCGCTAGTTCAACATAACAAAAAGAAAGAAACTGTGTTGCAAAAATCTACTAAAAAATTAAGTTAAAAGTCATTCAATATAGAGCCACAATATTAATTCTAGTGTGGACACTTGAGAGTCCACTTAAGGATTTTTAACCAATAAAGAAAATGTTACTTATTTGTCATGCTGACCTCAAGCATAAAAGGACAAATTGTTGACAAAGTCTTTGTGCTTATATCATGCTCCATTATTAGAGATGAAGATGAAATAGTTGTTATATATATCATGCTCCATGTTAGAATAGATGTTACTATGGTAATGATGTTTATCTTAATCTGGAGGGATCTAATATGCAACATGATTCCAAATTTGTTAAAGTTTTTCATACGTCAAGAACCCATACCAATATGCCTCAATTTTGGAACAAATGTCATGTAAGAAGTTAAGAAATAATGTTGCTAGAAAGTTATAAAAAATTTCATGCTACGCAATTATATCATAATTAAGTTAGATGAATATAATATCACTTTTTCTGTATAAAGGAAATCTTTTTAAACGATATATAAGGTGCTCAATATGAAGAAAAAAGTCCGCAATCAAAATAAGTATTTTGCTCATTCTTCCATTTTTAATTTATTAAACACTTTAAATTTATTTGTTTAAGTGATATAGAATAAGCCCATTTTTTATCATAGATTGTTTTGATCCCTCAAAAAAGGAGTGAAATTTATATTGTTATCGTCTTGAGATGACATCATATATATGTTTGTGTGTGGTGTCGCCCATCATAACTCTTTGGTTGACAAAGTTTGTAAAACTCCTGGGGTCACGTGTTTCCCCCCCCCCCCCCCCCCACACCATCCATCAGTGGTTTTTTATTATAGATGTATAATAATTCCACAAAATAAATGTATAATAATTTGAATTGTGAAAATCACCTAGTAGTTCTGTGTCTAATAAATAAAAATTTGAAGTCTTTCATAGGCATGCATCATGATATCTTTTGACAGTATCATAATCTTCAACTTGACAAGGAATGATCATTTTATACAGAAGTTGATCTTAGAAGCCTTGGGGCATGGCAAGTTGAAGCTCAACTCATAAAAATGCAATTCTCTTTTATTGAGCAACTAGTTTATGGAACTTTGTTATTAGTATGCATGACAGAAGTTGAATGTTTGCATCATTTGAGAGTGGCTTACATCTATCCCTATCCATTTTGTTTCTTGATTCTACCAATCTTCAATGAGTAGTACAAACTCAGCATGGTGTTGTTTCCTATCTCCTGTCCTAAAACTTAGTTAAGGCATTTGAAGGACTTACTTGTTCTTTTCTCAAAGCTTTTGTACAATCTATGTGCTCTTTACTGACGGAAAAAAGGAGAAGCTTCATTAAGTACAACTTCAGGCAAAAGAGAGAAGAAATTTTCATATATCAAATGGGAAGCAATTATACTTCTTTTTTTTTTTTCATGTTTTATGAGATTTGTCCATGGTTTGTGTGCCTGCAAATTAATTTAATAAATGATTTAATGTATTACCTGATTTATTTAAGTGTAAAAATTTTACATATGTTTATTAATTACATTATTTTTAATCATCATTAAGTTTAAGCATAATTCACGCATATAGCATTAATTAAGGAAAAAAAAAAACGTACATGGATTATGACATATATGCTGCCTTTGTGACAATGTGATGCCCACCAATTATGCGTATGATGCTGCCATTTTTTTTTCATTTTTTTACTTCCAATAACGCTGTCATGTTACAGAGTTAAAATAAACTAAAACATTACAAAACTCTGTACATTATTTTATATATATATATATATATATATATTCAAAAGCAATGATTAGGAGGTTATTATACAAGTCTCCAGCAATTTCTAATGTGCATAATAATTCGAGTACTACTCTCTTTAAAGCTCATGTGTGAAAGAGAAATTCGAACTGACGATCTGAGAGGTCTTATATGAAAGATGCCAACCAGTTAACCGGGATAAGCGACACTCTATACATTTTTATGTGAACTTATTATTATTATATACAAATCAAACCATTTAACACAGCTTAATTATATGTATTATGAAGCAAAGAAGGTTAAATTAAGCCCTTAGCATGTGAAGGAATTTAAATAAAATTTTCTCTCCAATAAAGAGACTCTTATTTGGAGCGTATTTTAATTATTATTTTTTAATTTAATTTTCCAAAAAAAAAAACCAAATTATATGAGGTAAGCTAACTTACACTGGCATGATCATGCTTGTACTACACTTGTCTAAAACAAGAGAGAGTATATTCTAAAAATAATAATTAAAAAAAAGGATCATTTTCTTACAAAACCCATAAATCTTATGTATTTATATGTATAATGAATAAATTTAAATTTTACATACACATCACCTTACCTTTTCGTAATTTTTATTTTATTTTTTAAAACTTAAAATAATGATATTTTTTATGTGAAATAAAAGATTTGAATGGTATAAATGTAAAAAAAATAAAATTTAGATGCCGAATATATGTAAATATATAGAATTTGAGTGGTATATATGCAAATGCATTTATAAAAATTATATTCTACGTGAATTAATTGAAATAAAATAAAATAATCTTTTTTTAATCAAGCGAGTCGGATTTGAACTATATTTTAATTATTAATTTCTATTTAATTTTCCAAAAAAAAAAAAATGTAATCACATGAGGTAAGCTGAGTTACACGAGCATGACCAATCTTGTACTACACTTTGTCTAAATGAGAATCCTTCTAAAGAATAATTATAAAAAAATATTAGATATATATATATATATATATATATGAATAACCTGACTCATTGGTGCGCCCTCTAGCGTAAGTCCTCGGGTTAAGAGTTTGAATCTCATGTTGCGTGCTCTTTGAATCAGAAACAAACACATCAGAGTTTTCAACTCTTTGGGAGAATCGATATTTGGTGCCACTGAACCAAATATTGATTTCACCTTTATATATATATATATATGTGTGTGTGTGTGTGTGTGTGTGTGTGTGTGTGTGTGTGTGTGTGTGGGAGAAAAGTGTGTGTGTGTCTAATGCCACTATAATTTATCTTTTTGAGTCTGAGGCTGAGCTGCACCCAGCCACACCCCCACCACTATTGCCACGTACCATCCGCTCTCACCATATAAACACTTAACCTTCAACGTGTACTTCCATCCCCCACGCATCTCCCCCTCTGCTTCCTGTTAACAAACCCTGCATTTCTCATCTCTCGATCCCTCGCATACCAATCGCCATGCTCAATAACCAAAGCTGCGTAAACTCCACGAACCAGAATCAGTCTCAGGAGAAGGAGGAAACCGGTCCGGAGAGGCTGAACCGGCTCCGGTCCGAGATGGCCGGTAAGGTATGGATACCGGAGACATGGGGACAGGAAGGGTTGCTCAAGGAATGGAGCGATTGTACGGCGTTCGACCGGTCCATGGTTCCGGAGGGGCTCCTGTCTGCGAGGAGGGCGTTAATGGCTGAGTATCGGAAGACCGACTCGGCCGGTCTGAGGATAGAGAACCGCTGTTCTTGAGTGGGTTTTTTTTCTTAATTATTATTCTTATTTAATAAGTTGTTTTCAGTACAATTTTAGAAGATTATTATTACGGAAGTTCATGGGTTGATTCTTACTCAGATTTGCTTTATTTAAATGTTTAATCCTACTTATTTATTATTAAAGTACCTATAATTATTATGCTTTGCACGTAATTATTTGGGTGATGGTTTGGATCTGTCGATTTTCATGATTTATGTTTTACATGGTTTGTTTGCTAAAACTCGTTTCAAATTTAGATATATATATATATATATATAATTTCCTTATGTCGAGCTAAAACGAGTTGGACATGATCTAACGGCTCAATTATAATTTGAGATTATAAAATTTATTTGTGTTCGATTTATTTAATGAACAATTTAAACATGAGTACAAATTAATAAACTGAACACGAGAACACTAGTTACTCGCGGACAATAAACTTATTTGGGAGCCATAAGTAGTGCAGTCTCATTTATATAGCAAGTGGATCAGGTACTTTATACTGCATATAATTATTGAAAAAGAGGGTCTCTCTCATTTTATTTGTGGATAGAATAATGTTTTATGGAATGCTAAGACAAAAAAAAAGGGTAATCAGTCACCATCACAAGACTGGAAAGCATGAAATCTCTTTGACGAATGATTTTATATAGCTTTAACGCAATCAAACATTTGAATTTCAGTATAACAATTTTATAAAATAATCGGTTGCTACATAATATGTCATCAAGAAATTTATCTGACATGAATCTGGAGATATTTAGTACGGATTTCAAGGCATTTTGTATGCAAATTCATTTCAATTCGAATCCAAAAATCATCCGGAGCATCAACTTCAGCAAACATATAGTCAAATTGGCCAGCTCGATGAGACAAATCCAATGATACTGAAATTGATTCAATTCGAGCCAAATTAGGCCTGGAACATGTCATTGAACTACTTTTGGAGGTTTTGAGTGGTTACTTAGAGGGTCGAATGAACTCCAAAATTGACATACTTATAGTCAAATCTAACATCTTGACAAGAGAAATTCAGTGAATCTAAGGTTTGTTGATTCTGGGATCATCAAGATCGTCATGTCATTAAAAAACTCTTCTATGATCAAGGAGAATCAACATGGGTCATTCGATCAAATGGATATAGTAGTTATTTGCTAAATTACTAAAATACCTCTCCTCTAAGGATTGTAAATAGACCTCTATTTTCGCTTGGAGGGGAGGGGAAAAAAAAGAAGAAGGATAAGGAGTCAATTTTCAATGTTATTATGAACTGAAGACTCGGTGCTAACAACAAGCATCCGTAGCCGTCGACCAACATCTACCACCGCTCGCCAGTCTTCTCCTGCTCGCTGTAGTTGGTAGACTCTATTGAGTAGTGAAGTATCAAATACTCTGCAACGATGTACATCAAATATGGTGGATTGAAGACCCAATGATAACTCCTAATGGCAACCACTCTTGAGTATTGCATTCAAAATACAATGAATCTTTTTGTATGTTGTGTAAGAACAAATATTGTACTCGGTGTATCATTGAGACATTTCCCCTCTTCGCTATTTGTGTGTGTTGGCTTTCACATAATACTGAGTCGTTAAATGATTACTCTACTGATTTGATTTCTCCAGCACACAGCACTACAAATGCCATTTTTCTTTTTAAATTCCAACAGCATTTTTCAGAGGTGGTACAAGTGTATTAGCCAATGCATACTATTAGCATAATGATATATTCACATAATACAATTATTCATTCACATCAACAATATTAATCATCCAAAACAAAATAGATTAATATTTACAAAACATAAAAATGTTAGGATTTTAATTAAAAAAAAACAGAAGATTAGAATTTTAAAATTTTAATATAAATAAATTGATGTACTCCTCATAGGATCTAATCAAAAGATAAAACTAGAGAGATTCCTTCATTATTCTATCAATTGATTGGAACAAGTCACCTTTGATCAGCTTAGCAATCTCAATCTTGTCATAACTTTTTTCTCCAATTTCTTTTTATTTTTTGTGGCATCATAAAATGAGAACTTGGCTTAGAGATTCTTAAATACCTCAGTCGAGAACAATTCTGATTGGTTATAAGCAATTCTATGATATAAAGGTCCCTTTAGATTTTGTTTTTATTTTCAATTTTATTTGTTATGTAAATTAGTTAAAAGTTAGAGTGTTGGTATCCATACTACATTCAACATCCCATCATCAACTAATTTCAGTCACACACGTAGAATCATGCGACGTCGCTTCTTTACCTCCTAATCTTTCTCTTATTATTGGTTGGTAATTTGTTAATCAACAACGTGATTTAAATACTCTTTTTGATCAAGAGATTTTTTATTCATTGTTTATTATGTGATGCAGGCAATATAAGACTTGAGTCGGGCAGTCAACACAATTAAAACCGATCAAAAGGACTCTTTTAAGTGACAAGCGATAGATCATCACAAACACATCATAAAAAATAAGCGGTAAAGTGCGTTAATAGTAAAACAAGACAAAGGTAAAAAGTCATCCAAAGGATGCATTTCATTTCATATACCAGATGATTGAAAAAACTTTCTTTTTCCAAAAATTTACAAAACTTTTTTCTATGAATTATATTTGAGAAAAAGAAACAAAAACTCTAGCATAGGTATCCCTAAGGCCGAGTAAAGCATTTGATGAGCCTCCTTCTACAACATGATCTCCTTTAGATTCTTCCTACCTTTCTGTCGCTGGTGTTGCGGTGGAGAGGAGCTTGGTAAATTCATTCAAATACTTGTACTTGGGTTGATCAACCCTACACGCACGAACTATCGGATCACTAGGTTTGTTCTAAGTCGGATATGCTAGCCTGATCATCTAGGAACCCCTCCCTCATCTTAATCAAGTCTACTCTTTCAATCAAAACTTCTTTCTCATCATGGACAATGAAAAACCACTTAGACGTGTTGTACAACTCTTCTTCAATCTCTTCTAGTCAAGCCTCAACCACGTCCACCTGTTCTTTAACAGCCTTTGCCCGTTCCTTATCAAGTGTGGCCTTTTTCTCAGCTTTAAGAGCCCTCCGCTTTGTGTCATGGCAGAGAAAGGAAAGAAATGTGTAGCCTCAAGCCCCAAAAAATTGGTATCAGTCGACTGCATGACATAGGTCCAGAGCACAATGCTTGCTGAGATGCTCCAAGAAATTCTTGGAACAGACTGTGATCATTGAATCATAAACATCGACACTCAAGGAACGCCAATCACTAATCATGTTGATTAGGGCATACCATGAGTCCTTGCTCACAAATACCTTCAGTCGATTCACCTGCTTGGGACTCCATTTGCACGAAACTCCCTCAACTTTTTTTTGAGAGGTGAGGGAGAAGAGTGTCAGTTTTCCATGTCTTTCCTTTACCAAAATGGGTTTCCTCTTTAGAAGCAATGGGCCACTAGGGAAGGGTGACTGGCCTCCCCACTCTTTGCATAGGTGATGAAGTTTGTAGTAGCTACCCAAGAAATCATCAGCTACATACCTAGCTCTTCTCCCAATAACTCCTCCTCCATGTTTGTCACCAGAAAGCTAAGAGTCCTTTCCAATTTTAGGCATTGCTCTCTAGATGGACCTACACCCATTAGAACCTGTTTTCTCTTAACAAGAATCAACTCCCTTGTGGAGACTCTATGAATTAAAATCATGCTCTCAGAAATATAATGAATATAGTTCGAACATGCAATCATGTTTTAGACACGGTCAATCTTCTCCTCCCCTCTCATTGGCCTGACAACTTTCTGATAGATGCCTTTATTTCATGGTTCCTTTTGAGAAATCCAAGCAACCTCATCAATTTATCACCACTCCTCCCGAGTATCTAACTCAGCTCATAAGGTCGTGGTCATCACACTGAATCTAGACAGATCTAGGATCTGGTTCACCACAACCACATCAGAGTATTGGTGGATGTATATCTTCCTCCCCTCGACAACCACAACCATGCATTGAATGTAATGAAGCACAGACTTCTTCTTCTTATGCACTTCACCAATCGAATGAGATTGGACTCCTAAGTCATGGGAGGACCCACGCTTGAAGCTAGGCATCATCATCCAAAAAGCAAGCATCTTGGAGCAAAGACATGTCATTGAGAGGCATGGACAACCTATTGGTCAATGGGAAAGATCTGAAAAATTGGGCAAGTATTTGGAGGCCATCTAAATGGAAGTGAGGAAGGTAAGGGAAGAAAATCAACATATGAGAAGAAAGAATGATCAAAAGCACAATGCTCAAAAATCCAACTCTTAACTCTTATATATAGGGTGTGAGAGAAACTTAAGCTGTCGTAAGGATCGTACAAAAATTTCGACATATCAAATGACATCAATACAATTTTTGAGAGAGTAATTACAAAAATTAAATTTCATTTGAATAAACATAAAATCTAGAGTTTTATTAAAAAAAAAGAATAATTTTACGATTGGTTCTTCTGCCCCTTAGTCGAGGCAATCCCTCGTCAAACTAGCTTTTGATAGATCACTTGGACCCTAAACCTAAAACTATCTGCACTACTTGCTTTGGCCTGGACTCAAACCTTCAAACAAGTCTCCCGAACATATGTTAGTGCCAATCAAACTTCTGTCATATTTATCTAAAGGGTTGCAACCTCTTCACGTATCTCCTTTTTTTCATCACCTCTTGACATTCAAGAATTCAAGTAAAGGAGTCTTCCATCTCCTATATTTATTGGAGCAGTGACACTAGGAACGTTTTTCACCCATTTGTCTGTTCTCCTCAGACAACAAAATTTAATAGACAGTAGGTACAAAGGAGCACAATATAATGAGCCCAAGAGCGAAAAAGCAAGGTCCCACAGGCAGATGACCAAAGGTCCCTCAAAAAAAGACCAGAGGTTCAGTGCCAGAATATTAAGCATCAACAAGTGTGATACCAAAAGACTAAGCATCCACCAGCAGGACACCAGAATAGTAAGTGTCTACCAGCAGAACACTAAAGACTTGTCTGATCCTATGCTTGTACTACACTTGTCAAAATGAGAATACTTGCTAAATGATAATTAATAGGAAAAAGACTTACGCGTGCATACCCTTAAATTTAATAATTAATGATAATTTTGAA